AGCCAAAAGCAACTTTGTAGATTAGAAAGATGAGTAGGCTGGAGGAGAGAAAGTCAGGATTCTGACTTAAAGGTATAGCTAAACAAATAGCTCTATTTGAAAGAAAACTTTTTAAAATCATCCAAGAAATGCTGATCAGTTGCTAGACCTCCTCGATTTGCTGTTGTTATTTGTTTGTCTTCTAAAGCAGCACTGTAGACAATGCTAATCCAGTCATAATGGAAATCCTAGTTCTTGCATATTGACCGTAACGGAAGGAGAACAGAAGGAGGGAGAAGTACACCATTAAGATGGGCTTTGCCAATAGTAATTTTTAGTCCTATGGTTTGACCAGCAGTTGAACCGAGGTTCCTTCTCCCTGGCTCCCAGCACTGTGTTCCTGACATCAGGCCTGCATTTGAGGCAGAAACCATGACTTTCTAGTAGAAGATGGTGACTGTAGAGCAAAGCCACTCTTTAATAGGTCAAGAGAAATATCTGAAATAAATAGTATTTCTGCGAACAAAAAGTGCAAATTATACTAAAAGGACCAGATTGCTAGACTGTGGATGGATTAGAAAAGCTCTGAATGCCTGCAGTCTAAGTAATATGTTCCATATCTTGAGTGCTGAAACAAAGTCTCTACTTGCTCTTTATTGCATTGTTTCACTGGGAGGAACAAAGCTTCTACCTGCAGTCATGCAGAAAGCAGAATAGAGCTCAGCTGCTTCCCAGATTCTGAATTATCTTGATGTTGTTGATAATGAGGGACAGAAATCTTAACTCAAAAGAAGTCAATGCAATGCTTTGAAGAAGTTAATAATCTGCTGTTCTTGCAGTCACCTGCCAGAGAAAAACTCTGTAAATTTCTATGAACCAAAGGTCTGATCTCTATTGCTGTCATGGCTGAATCAGCTTATACCTCTCTGCTTATACCTTTAGTCTATATCAAAGAACAAGAAAGGTCTGATGGGTGAATAACTTCCCCTAGGATGTTTCTACAATTTTCAAGAATATATTTGTGAGTTTCCATTATCGAACAACACTGAAAAAAAAAGTAAAAAGGAAGTGAGTATAGAGAGCAGAAATATTAGTGGAAAACCATGGGCATTTTTCTGCCTCAGTCCCCACCTGGGCATAGTGGCGCTTCAGCTGCAGAAATCCTGTCTGCACACAGAATGTTTACCTTGCTCACACCACAGCACCCACCTGGCACCTAGACTTTCATACTTTTCAGTAAAGTACATAAATACATACATCAACATACATGCATTCAAAAATCATTTCACGTGTATATCTGGAATTGCAACTGCTTCCCAAGTCAAGCTGATATTTTAATGGACTGATAATATCAGGAAGTCATTCATATTTGACACTTTGTGAGGGGGGCAGGGAGGAAAACATGAAATCTTGTTGCAGCCCAAACTATGCAACTGAAGTCTATACTAATTGCATAAAATGGTGCAGGCTTTTACAACCATGTTCACTTTTAAAATGAAGGTGGATTCAACAGATCTTGCATATTGCAGAATCTAAGGGACATCTAGGCATTACACCTGAGAAGAAGCTGAAGAGTTCAAAGGAGAAGAGTCTCCACATTAAAGTTGAAAGCAGACATGAGGCTCTGTGAGCCAAGTCTGACTCATGGTGGTGCTTGGAGGTATCTGCATCACAGCCATCAGCCTCTCTGCTAATGATGAAAGGGAAAGTGGCACCCCTGAATTAAAAAGTGGCACATCTCCTGTAGCAGACTGAATGACCCCTGATCTGCATGGAACAGTGATCTTATGAAATTTCTCACCACTGAGCTCAGCAGAAACAACACCAGATGAACAGCAGAAAATGCTATCGCAGCAGCCACAATTAGTCTCTTATCCTGCCATGCAGGGTACAATCTAGGTCAGGACCCCTGACCTCAGCAAACATTCACATGCAGCCAAATACATTCATCCAAACCACTGCAAATGAATTTCAAAACCAGCAAGCTGGATGGTATGCACCGAGAATACTCTATCAGTGGGGCTTGTTACCAGGGAATTGTCCTGATGCCAGATGTACTAGTGTGGCTTCTCTCTCCTTTTAAGAGATAGACACATTATCTGAAAACTATTTTGGCTCAACATTCCTACTGTGGAAGCTCCTTGGCCAATACATAGCTAGTTTCCCACTGCCGATAAACACAACAGTTAATAAATAAATGAGAACAAAACCCAGCCTACTGTAAGTGAGGGCAGGCTATTCTTTGTAACAGTGTGTCTTTAGGCCTTTATAAGAGCTTCAGAGGGTCTAACAGCCAGTTAGTTCTCCATTTAGCCAGCACGTTCCATTCACTAAAACATTTGATTAGGAACGTAATTACTTGATTGGTCCAGCAGAACTTTGAACATCATCCAAGAAATTTACAGTAATAAAAAAGACTCAGCAAATCATTCACTGGAAGTGTAAATAATTAGAAAGATGGAATTCTGTTTTGTCTAACATGTCCAAAGACACATAACTACATAACAGGTAGTTATTTTTTGTTCTTGAGAATTTCCTGCCCACAAGAATTCTGAAACTAGAGTTTAATCATGAGGCTTCATGATTAATTCATGGCATGAATTAATGAGGCTGACTTCATGATAATCTGCATTTAGGTACCTTTGAGTTAGAGACTTGAACACTATAATGATTTTGTTCTTTTTTATTTCTTAAGATTTATTTTGCAGTCAGAAGCCTTGGGATACCCAGTGCAGGGTTGAATTCCAAACTGTTCTGAAGGCTAGAGAACCAGCACATATCTATTCATATCATATCCATATCCATATCCATATCCATATCCATATCCATATCCATATCCATATCCATATCCATATCCATGTCTTCAAATACTTAGGAAGCATAAATCTGAGTTTTGGTGTTTCTAAGAATTGTGGTCCACTGTTATAAGGAAAACGCAAACCAGGAAACAGGATCAACTTTCTTTGAATGTTGGGGCTGATGTTTTTTTCAGTGCAGGGCTGTCCTTTAGGTACCTTAATTCAGTAAATGCCTTGGAGGGAAGTAATAATGACCTCAAAGGAGTTTATGCATACAAAAAAAGGATGATTTTATGTACAAATGCCAAAGGCAAAATAAAAGTGAACATGGTACACTATAAAGCAAATGCTTGATCCCATATAGACTGGGATTGTGAGGCAATCTGAGTCACCCTGAGTTTGATTTGTGCACATCTTGTAAACTAATTTGAAATAGACTAGCTGAAGAGAAGTAAATGAACCAGACTCTCAGTGATGCATGAAACTTTATGCTCAGAAAGCCACTTGCAGCATTTGTGTTTAAGAACAAGCACTAAGAAATAATGTCAAGAGCAGCCTGCATTACTGGGGAAGAAAAATAGGAGAAAAGAATGACAAAGTTTGAGAATTAAATAATCCTGAAGGAAATTCAAAGACTAATCAACTTCTGAAAACTAAATTGTAAGTACCAAGAGATCACAGACTTGGACTACAAGGCTCTGCCAGTTCCATCTGCTCAGACTAAAATGAGTCCTTAACTCGCTGCTCCAGAGAACTGCATTACCTTTGCGCAGGGCAAGTAACAGCTAACCTTTTAGATTATTATCACTACTACCACACCAACTGATATGGAGTTTGTGAGCTAACACAGTGTTTCCAGTCTTTCAGTTCAATAGCAGAGTGGGTGTATGGAAATGTCATCATTTTGGCAATCAATCAGTTTATTAAAGTCGCCACTGAAAGGCCAAACAGATTCTGTTATGCTGAATGAATAGCAGCTACAGCCAAGCCTGGACATGAGATGGGAAACTGCTCCTGCTGCAGGGTTAAGAAAAGCCTTTTCTTCCTTTCTGAAAGCAGCTGAATGTGGTTTATTTCCTTGCCTTTCTTAGCAATAAGTGGGTTTACATGAGAAGATGAAACTTGAGACATGAAGATGAACATTTAGAACTATTTCCTTGAGAACACTGGTGATGGGAAACAGAGAAATGTTTGCCTGAGCTGAGGAATGTTGTCAAGGAAGCCCTTGGTCCTAACTGGCCATGAGTGGGGTGTTGTACCTTGACAGTAGTTTGGTGACTCTCTTTTCACTCATGGCTGCTTCTGAAATATGCCAGTGGGACTTGTATCAACACCAAGTGTACAGTGAAGCATGATTTTTTGCTGATGTGACTATTCCTAATGCTATTTAAATATGGAAAAATGAGGGAAAAGGGGTATTTAATTTATTGTACCTTTTGGCGCTATGGCAAAAGCCTAACCTCCATTAGTCAATACTACCCCTGCACTCTAAGGGACTTACACATTGTAAAATTGGTAATGGTTTCTCTAGATTTTCGGATTAATACACTGGGCAACGGGTGAATATGCAGATCCAGCAGCAGCTGGGGTGTGAAATGTAACAATGCTGTGACTATGGCTTTCTAGATTGAACATGAAAAAGAACAGATAAACCCATAAACCAGTGGGTTTATGCCATGCCAGAGCTCTCTATCCAGCCTTACACTTCTGTGTGTTCTCTTATTTGTTTCTAACACGGGAGTCTGTATTTTCCACGTGGTGACTACCTGTGTCACAGTGTGGATATCCAGCCCACAGTGGCTATTACCAATACTGCACTATCAGGGGTAAAAAAAACCAAAGAAACTGAAAAGGAAGCAGAGTGAATCAATTCAAACCAAATTGCCATCCTTCATTGCTCTGCTTCCATCTGTCTTGCTCTAAGGAGAGAGAGTTCACCCCTGTTTATCACCATCTCCTTCTCTTCACTAGGCTTATTCTGCATCTTACACCAATCTGAGAGCCCGAGCAAGCACTGTTGGCCAACGCTTTTCCCTCTGAATGACAAATTTATAGATTTGATAATCTGCAGCAAGAGCAGATTAGTGGCAGACATATTCCTTTGCAATGGTTCGCAGTAAGCCTTTTTAAATTCTCCTCAATCCTTTCAGTGTTTTTATGTCTTCTAAATTGCAGCTAAGTAAAATGGTATTTAGGTTTCAGTAATTAAAATTATTTACTTACCATATTTAACAGCTGGAGCATCTCCACATATCTGAGGAAAGAGAGAAACTTTAATTAATTGCTATCAAATGAATATGGAAGGGTGGACTGCCTAGCTTCAACTTTAGAAGAGCAACAGATAGTTTGTAACAATGAACTCACACTTTTTCTGAAGACATCAGCTCCTGGGCAATGAGGTAAGCTCTGGACTGGCCTTCTTTCTGTCAACAGGAAAAGTCAGAGACAATTAAGAGGTGTCTCATTCCAAGAAGTAAAGCAGTGTTAGAGAGCACTTTGAACTGACATATTTCACCAGTAAAAACAGTGCCCATACTTTCTTTTATTCTTTGTTGTTCAGTGTCTGGCATCCTGGACTTCTTTCCATGACAAGCCATTTCCCCAATTCAAATACTCATAAGTATAGTACAATACAATAGCTGCTAACGCAGATACCAACTTTGTGTTATTGAAAATTGAGAACAAATTTTTGTTGATTTTTACAGGTCCAAAATTTGTCAAACAAGCAGAAAGTGCTTAACTTTAAACAGACTAGCTTCACAGCTGTTGTGGCTCATAACATGTGGAAAAGGGAGTTCTTTATCAAAATGGTCATAATCCAAACTGTTCTGACTGCTGCGCATGAGGACTGCGGAAGCAAATGGGGCAAAGGGCTTTATTGCATGCTAAACAAAATGTCTAAATGAAATGGCCATAAATATCTCCAGAAATAGTTCAGTACCAGACAACACTGAAATCTCAGTGGCATCTACTTAACTGGTGGACATCCTGGAAGAAACGTAACTATGAAAGAAGCAAAGTGTATGGCTCTGAGGTGCAAGTGGTTAATTAGTGCATTTTACTCATACTTCATGACTCATCCTTATGTAAGCAATGACCAAAGCATAGAAATATGTACTGAAAAAAATGTTCTAGGAAAAGTTTGATTTTTTTAGCAGTGGTGAAGTAGGGAACTAAAACAGTGGTCTAGTAGCAGTAAAAAAAGCAGCCCTCAGTGTCCAGAAGTGGAGCATTAAGTCTTTGTTACAGTGCTTGCCAGACCAAGTATGCTGGGAAGAAGACTCAGTGAAGCAGAAAGCCAAGGGTCCCCACATGGCTGCACGGCCTCCATCTGCTAAGCAAAGGCATGCACTGGGGCTGGAGGGCGGCTTCTGGAGAGGGAACTGGGAAGGAGCCATACCACAGGACTGGTCACATGCTGGCTGCAGAGAGTAAAGATTTCTAAAAAGGTGGCAGCTTGGCAGTGTTATAATAATCACTTGGACTTTGTTTCAGAAACTTGATGGTTGAGGGACCTGCACTCCTTCTATCCCCCGTTCTCAGAAGTCTGTCTCTAGATACTGTTGTCAATCTCAGAGTTTATTTCCTGGTTTAGGAAACAGCAATTAAATAACACAAGACAAGCAATGCCTAGATGCACTCTCTGACTTGCCCTAGACAGGCCATGTGACACTGAGGTCCCTGAATTTCGTCCTTGGCTAAGACATATTAATCATAGAAGCTGATGGCACTTTGGTGACAGTGCCAGTCACTGCCCTCTGGGCCCAGTGCCAGCTCTTAGTTGTGCTGACCCAGTTGTTTGCATGACCTTGATCAGAACCAGACTGGTCTCCTGATCCAGCTTAAAAAATTGTGGGGCTGGGGGCGAATCTGCCTCCATGGGGCTGGAATGGGGTTGTTTGGCCTAAGAGCAGCACAAGCAGATCACAGAACAATTCACTAAACCCTGGAAGCATTAGTACTGTACTTCTCTGGTGTACTCAGGAAGTAACCCTTTGCATTTCAAAAGTGGGGAAACTACTAAAGATATGGAATCAGCAGCTCCATCCTTGTGCATGCCACTGGCTTGCCATACTGACATGGACAAACTACATTTCTCCGTGCGTCAGTACAGGGGTGTCATTTCACAGACTACTCAGGGTAGGTGTATTGTAGCTCGACGGTCCCAATCAGAGGCTTATTGCAGATTTATAAGCTTCAGCCTCTGGGCTGAGTAACTTCAGAATGCCCCTTTTGTAATTATCATGCACTATGAAGCAGTTAACAGTGATGTCACGGTGTCAATAGTAAACTGAGGCGTTACAAGAACAAATTACTTTCTCAGGCTGGCTCTGTGAATCAGTGAGAGGGAAGGAGAAGCAGTCCACATCTGTCTCCCAGGCCCTGTCCTTGAAGAGCCAAATTGCAGCTCTCCTGGGGAATCTGCGTAATTGTATAAATCAAGAACTGCCCCTTGAAAGGCGTCTGAATTAGGTGCTTCTTCAAAGCACACAGATCTGCCATTCGCAGCTCCAGCATGTTTCAGTTTTGTGTGTGTGTGTGTGAGCATGAGTGCATATTTTAATATGTGAAGGTTAAAGGTTTGCAAAACAGAATGATTAATGGAGTCTGGAAACCAAGCCCACCAGGTGGAAATGGGTAAGGAGCAGCAAAAGCAGTTTTATATACTGTTGCTTTGATTCAGTAGCTGTCCTGCTTGTTGTGAGACTTTTGAGGCTCAGCTTAGTGTTCCCTGTTTCTGTACAGTGCAGATCCCCTCCATTTGCCATATGGGGTTGCTGGCTCTTTTTGTCCACTGCCTTTTATTATGATATCTGGGACAAGAGCGGAGCATCTTACCTCTAGTGCTGCCTTTTCACAAGAACAGCATACAGGGATTGTTCCCTATATATATGAAGTTCCCCTTCATTTCTCCAGCACACCAACAGTCTTGGTTGGATTAGATATATTAAACCAAAAGTCCTAAATGACTAGCCAGAAAGCTTTGGGGTTTCACTGGCATAAAATCCAGCCATGTCTGATCTGAATTCCTTTTATACCATTTTGCTCTGTGGTTACATGCTATTCACCTCATTACAGACTTTCACATATTGCCACCAGGGTAAGATCACATCCCTCCTATGCTGGTTTTATACAGTTCCTTGTAACATATTGCTGGGTTTAGACTATACTCAACAGTATTTTCATACAGATTTGTTCACTTTTAGATTTCTCATACAGTTAAATGGTAGATAGATCTGTGTTCTGGATGAAAGAAATGTCTTTATGTTCCTTCTATAGCTTTATTACTTGTTCTAGGATCTGTATATTTCCTGAGTGCTTTAAAGACTATAATTCTTACAGGTATTCACACATATTAATCACATTCTTTTTGTATTATTTTACTGAGATTCCCTTCAGTTCTTCAGATAAAACTTCCCCCTTTTGTGTTTACAGATAAATTTAAAAGAGCATTCTTAATTGTTCCTTTGCCTAGTGGCTTAACGTAGAGTTTGCTGTATATCTTTCCTAACCATAACAGAGTTCTTAAAATAGCTGTTGTTGCTTCAATATTCCCAGCACTGTGTTTACCCAGCCACTGCTTTCTCCTTCCAAAGGCACCTGTAAAGGGAGACTTGGCCTCCTTTTGCTGTGGGGCAAACTGTGCCGTTGATCGCAGTCTAAATGCCCTCCATTGACTACTGGGGTTATTTTTAAGCCTATTGCTTTGTTTGATCAGCAGATATCATACATCTTTAGTATTTCGTGTGACCCAATCTGGATGAAGCAGCATGATGGAAATAGCTCTTGAAGCCCAATCCAAGACATTATGCTTTGAAGTGTCATTACAGGACTGTAAGTATCTCTCTCTGCAAGATGCTGGAAAACTGAGTTCTTAAATTAGCAAGTGGGTTCCTGTGCCTTACCCATCCCCACTGATTCCAAAACCTGTGCTTCATCTCTCTGTATTTCTTCAGAAAATGTTCACATTACCCTAAGGCCTCTGCTGCATCTCTGCTGTCGTTTGTCCCACAGGTGTTTGCCCTTCCCCATACCTAACCTACTTCCCTAAATAGAGCTGTTAATGTAGTAGTAGTTGTAGTAATGTAGTAGGAAGGGAAATGCATTCCTGATACTATCATATCAGTGAATTCCTTTAAAGGCTTCCCTTTAAAGGTTCCCACAGTGAACTGAAAGGCTAGCACCTAACTTTCTGCCTTGCCTGCATGTTTGATTACTAATCTGCATAAGATGGTTTTTTCTCTTGTCTGGATGCAGCATAAAAATCACTTCTCCCTTTCTCCCTGCTGGCTCCTTATCTTCAGCCAGTCAAGGGTTAGGTGTGGTATAAGAATTGTCTCGGGAATCCTTACAGTTTTATAATAACTGGAAGTTGTATAAGGTTAGTGACAAAAGGTATCAACTGCACAGAAGATCCAGTCCTAAAAAGTACCTACAAGAAAGGAACTATCTGAAGACTTTTGCCTGAACATTCTGACACTAAAGTGAGAGGCACAAGCTGTGGAGGGATAGCTGATGATCCAGTATATGGCAGCATCTTCCTCAAACTACCGAGTCAATTTATAAACTCAGATCATAACTAGCAATAGGTGAAACCTACCAGCATATGTTTAGTCCATTTCAAACCATGGAGCTGTGCTTCTCAAAAGTACACTTCCAAGACTATATTATCTCTATTTCTGATCTTCTTTTTAAAACTGGAAATTCCGAGACTGCAACAAAAACTAAGTTCTGCCAAAGGAAACTATTTAAAGTTGGTGTCTAGTCGGATCTTAACTATTAAGCTCATTTACCCTATAATTCCTTTAATGCTTATTAGCTGAGTGGATCCCAGATGGATTTATCTTTTCTTTTTTTTCCACAGTAAAAAGCAATCATGAAGTTCAGGTTTGAATCTAGCTCAGTGACGATAAGAAAAATCTGGGGTTCTGCATCCTGGACCTTGAGCATTTGTCTAGTGAGTGAAGGTTCAGAAGTAGGAGATTAACAGAAAGTCCTTATTTTCCTTGGCATGAGTTTTCTGTTCCTAACTGTAATCTCTAATTCCAATATTATTTTCTGTAGGCAGCTCAGATGCCGTCATACAACCTTGAGAGCCCAGTAGAGAAAAACCTTCTGATAAACTGGTAAGGATTTAATTAAATGAACATATATAAAAGACACATGAATAAGAGGTGGTCCAAGACCCTCCTCTAAAACAGATTAGCAGAAGAAAAAGGAGTGAATCTCCACCAGTAGTGTAAGTGAAGAGCATCGCTCTTTGTAATATAATCCAGTAGAATCTCAAAGGTTGAGAAAACTTACAGCATTCCCTGTCTCTGAGTTATTATATGCCAGCAGAGTGAAGAGAAGGAAACAAAGAGCTTTTTTAACCAGAAATAATGTATTTTCACTGTTATACAGAAGAATAAGAACCACCATGTGACTTCTGATGACAAATGCTCAACTTCTCAGGGTCTGAGGTACTCCCAGTGGAATAAAGGTAAAAATTCAAAACCCACCTCCTGTTTTACATTTTTATACCTGCCCCATTCTAAATAGGTTTTCAATAATAAAAATTCCTGTAACAGAGATGAAAACCCCTCTGTTTGCTCTTTAAAATAAAGTTGATAATTGTAGCGGGTTTGAGTCCAGGCCTTCCTTGGTAACCAACACAAGAAGGCTAAAGTCCACTTCCGAGACAAGAAGGCCTCTGGTGGAGCAAAGAGGAAATCTGACACTGAATGCTCTGACAAGGACCAATAGAGGGGCCAAAACAGTGTGAAAACAACAACAACCAACCAGCAAATAAAACCTCATGAATGGCAGAGTAAAAAAGATTAGTTGTGACTGCTTCACTTGTTTCATGTCATCAAGAAGATCAAACCACAGTCTTCTCCACTGGTACCAGAGGCAGGCTAGACATAACTGAGGTATGGCATGCGGGGAAATCAAAGGATCCTATTTCCCCTCCAAGATTAAAGCAACAGCAACTTCAGTTACCTTTCAATGTCATTCTGCTTTCAGTTTCTATTTTCTGTTTCTGAAGAACTGGTGTCCTGGTAGGACAGGACAGTGTAGTTTTAAATTTTCAAGATTGCAGCTAAATCCTTTGGAGTGAGACATTTTTCCTGACACTGAAGTCAGGACTTTCTTGCTGTTTATTCTGCCTCCACTGTCTGTATTTGGACTACATTCTTTGCCCTTGCCACATGCTGTAGGGGCAAATTGCTGCTAACACACTGGGGGAGTAAGGGACTGATGGCTCATACATTCCTAAATGATCACTAGGCAAAGAACAGAGAGAGTTGAGAATCCAGATGCTTCTGCTAATTGCTTTCCCTCTCCAGGTTTCATGAATTCCCCATTTTCGGGTCTTTTACCTTGTTGATGAGGCTGGGATCGCCAGGGCTGATCTCCTCATCTTCTGAACTTCTCTGCTCCTCATCTGATGTGACAACTTCCATTGGTATCATGGAGACTGGGCACACCTTGTAGGGCTCAGTGTAGGCACTGCAGAGAGAATAAGAACAGACTAGCTCAGTGATTTTATTCCCTCAGTTTGGAGTAAAAAGTTCATACTCAGTTGCAACCAGAACTGCTTTGTTCCTCCCTAGTCAACCCCTCAAAATGGATGCAGTAAAATCACGCTAACATCTCAGTGCTTATTAAAAATGGAAGTTAGATACTGTAACAATGGGGTTTCTGGGAAAACAGAGTGATGAGAAAGGTATAATTGTAATACCAATGGCATCAATCAAACTAGAAGATACTCAGATCCTAGAATCCTTGTTTCCAGGAAACCTGAATTCAGCTCCAGAAACCTAGAGAAAGGTGAACAGCAGGAGTACTGGATCTGGTATGCAATACAGGCCAGTGGCTTCACAGCATTTTCTTTTAGAAAAAAAAAAAAAATCAGTTAAAATTGCCCATGATTTCAAAACCTCCACAAAGCATGACTAGAGCTAGGTAATCCAATTGGTGCCTGCTCTTTGCCTTAGAAAGGTGTTATTTATTGCCGATCTGAAAATGTCTAGCTCCAAACTCCAGTTACTGGATCTTGTTAAACCTTTGTCTGCTAAACTGGCAGCAGTCTTCCAAATTTTGTTACTGTGTACTTACAGGCTGTATTCAGGTTGTCCCTTCATTTTGACTTCTATATGAAATAGGTGAACATCTTGGTGTCTTATGATGTCATGCCTCCTATCATTTAATCATTCTAAAATCTCTGAGTTTCGTCTAATTATCCATTAGCATTATTCAATTTACTAACCATTTTAGCATCAGTTTTTACTACCAGCCAGTTTTAGTCATGTTCTTGGTACTGCAACACAAAACTCATTATTTCAGCACTGACAAAAGACATATACCAAGACTGCTATACCAAGTATACCAACTGTAACATCCATCTATTTCTACTTGACTTTACTGAGGTTTTACCTTCAAGGACCATACTAGTATTTTTGGCCACAGTGTCATTCTGGGAGTTTATATACAGCTTATACACCACAGTGGCCCCAAGCCTTTTACATTTCCAGGGCAAGGTTCCAGCATTCCACCAACAGGGTGAGTCTTGAGAAACAAAGTGTGATATCTCTGTGTTTTCCAGTAGACACGTTGGCCAACCAGGTTGGTCTGTAATGTGGGCCTGGGTTACTCAGAGTGTATGATTTCTTTACTTCTTATTTCCTCTGAAACATTAACTTCCTTTCACAGCTCTGCCTCACCTCTTTATTTTCCTTTGATCTCCTACTTGGGGTTCCCAGATGTGAACAAACCCAAAACTTCAAAGGCAATACTAGAGTGACAGGAGGCTGGGCAAAGAGGGGTTGATGTAAGTGGGAGGACAATGAAGAAAGAGATTCCCAAGGCCCCTGACCAGACTCTTATTTCCTCATTTCTAAGCTGCAAACAGGGCTGTGTGTCTCCCATGCAGGTGTAGCTGTCAGCCTTTCTGTTACACCTCCAGCTTTTCCCTTATGCACGGACTCCAGGAGTTCTCACAGGTTGTCCAGTGCACTTCTCATGCCTGGGCGAAGCGCCAAGCAGCAGCACTGTTCCTCTTGTTTATTATTAGTGTCTGCAGTTTTTCAATGTGAGTGTCATCACCACACTTCTGAAAACCTACCTAGCTTCAACAGCAAAGGGGCCTCAGCACAAGTTCACTTGCAAGAGCAAGGCAAATACAGGAACAGTTCAGGGGCCTAATTAATAGTTGAGCCAGTCTCAGTCCTTACTCACACAGTCCTGCAATTTGTAACTGTTTGACCCAGCAGACATGAAATTAAGGTCCTCCCTCCTTTTCTCTCTGATAAATGACTGCATTATGTTAATGTAAAAACACATTACAATTTGGGAAGAATGCCTCAGTATATTAGTCCTGTAATCATTATGAATGGTATTATTAAAGGCTCATGCAGTAGCAGAACTTATTCAACAATAATTCAGCAGTTCAGCAATACTGCTGAACTGTTACAGGGCCTTCAATTACAGTAGACCTGCAGCCAGTGGCACGGCTTGTGTTTAAAGGGAAGTCTCAAAATGTTATGGATCTCATTTGCATGTGGGATAGGCACAAGCATATTTGTACCACTATCTCCATTTCCCTCTTCTCTGACCACTCCAGCAGCACTCTGGTGTTTACTTCTGAGACTGTTCTAGATTGTCACAGAGCTCCTGGGCAGTACACCTTTCCCAATACTCAGCATGTGTTTTAATGGCCAGTCTTCGCGAACGAAGAACCGGGGAAGGTCTTTCCACCTTCCAGCCTGCGCATTGGATTTTTTAGGTGAGACACAGTGTGCGCGGAACTGAGCCCACCCTTTAATCCTGAGGTTCATCTGCCGGGGCCAAGCGAGCTTGGACGGTGGCAGCGAGGTCCTCAGGACGTAGATGGATTGCCTTACAGCGCTAACGAGCTCCATCTGCCCGGGGAGTGTCCTGACCGGGAATCGAACCCGGGTCTCTGCTGTGACAGCGCAGCGCCTTTACCCTCTAGACCACCAGGGGCTCCCAGCATGTGTTTTACTCCATTGAACTTACACATCTTCATCCACCATACATATCTATGCTTCTGTGGTTTCCTAAAACTTCTAGCTTCTGAAGACTTGAACTGTCTTCAGCGACTGCTAAATGATACTTTTCTTTAGCTCATTAAAAGCACTGCTAAATAAGCTTACTGTAAGCAATAAACTTTAATGCAATGGAAGACGCAAATAAAAGTGTGGGTGTGAAGAATAAGGGGGGAAATAGTCCCGGAGGTTGCAGTATCTGAATAGACACAGTAATCCCCAACTAATTCTCTTCCTTGTAGCAATAATTTGGCTGGAAGAGAACAGACTCCAGGCACATTATCTGCTGCTCCTCCAGCAATTGTCTGTGATCATTCCAAGAGTTGGCCAGCACAAGAAAGGAAGCAATGGGCCTTCTGGGACAGTCTGACATTTAATTGAATAAATGCAGGAGGATGCAGTGCAGCAAAAGTCTTCCAGTTAGCACCAGTTGCATTATAATTACCAGAGCTGCTAATAGGTACAGAGCAGGGAGAAGCTGTAGAAATGCACCCTACTAGTTACCTGTATGCCTTTACCTCTGAACATGTACTGGTACATCTGAAAAAGTGTTCCAGAGTCTACAGACTCTCTGCTTATCTCTGTTTGTTTACATCTCACCTCAAGTGACCTCAGTGACTGAGGGGAAGGTGAAGCCATAAAGGAGAGGGAAGCTGAACTGATCCTTGGACTAGCACTTTGTAAATAAAGTCCAGACACAAGTCTCTACTACATATGATACCTGAAGAGCACAAGCTGGGACAAATTTGAGCACAGATGATATGTTCATGTGAAGTGAGAGAGCACTGTGGAGATACACAACAGGTATGAGAGCTCACAGAACATGATTCACAGATGGAAAAATACTTTTTTTTCTCTACCTTGAATGTGCAATTCTAAAGGAGACACATACCCTTATTTTAATTTCACACCTAGCCTTCAAATGACCTTGGAAATCCTATCCCACTCCTCAGCAATGATCACATTAATACTTTAAAATTTTTAGAAGTTATTCAGTCAACATTAATGAAAGGTAAGAATTTAAGTAGGTGATATAACAGTGGCAAAAATACATAGCCAAAGTTACTATAATAAAGGCCTATGAAGACCATGTATTTTTGTTTGCATCTTGGCTGTACACTCATCTCTTGGCCACACACAGAAGTGATGTCCTGTTTCCTCCTTTAGAGTCACCAACTGCCTGAAAACAACAACAAGAAAAAAGTCTGAGTTGGTGAAAATCTCAGCTTAAGGCCTGTGACTTCCATTGGGTGATTTAAGTCCTCTGTAAGGATCAGATTGCCTGCAGTTTGCTTTCAATGAATCAAGTGATGCATCCTAAATAAAGGCTCATAAATCTCACTTGCCTTCTGCTTCATGGTCTATGATCATGAGGGGAGAAGGGAAGCGCTCTTTTTTGTAAGGTATTTATATCAGTGTATCCCTAGACCAGTCAGCTATGCTTATTGGTACCTGTGGAGTATTTATCCTGTGCACCAAGTGGCTCCTTATACATCTGAAGTGCAGCTGGTTAGGCTGTAAAAATGTGCAGGCCATGTCCCTTCAAATGCTACTGCAGTAGATTCATCACAGTGCCTACAAGGTATTATCACATGCGTTGGGACAGATGTACAGCATATTTCTGACTTGCAATGAATCTGCAGCAGACAGCGGAAATATGCCGGAAACATGCTAATCAAAAGCACTTCAGCATCTCCCTGAAGAAGCAAGCATTAGTGCAGGGTTCAGATGTCATGCAGTTTTAGTGCCACAGTTCATAACACAGAATCACAGAACAGAATTATAGAATGGTGTGGGTTGGAAGGGACCTTAAAGGTGATCTAGTTCCACCCCCTGCCATGGACAGGGTCACCTTCCACCACACCAAGTTGCTCCAAGCGCCATCCAACCTGACCTTGAACACTTCCAGGGATGGGGCAGTCACAGCTTCTCTGGGCACCCTGTGCCAGGGCCTCACTACCCTCTAGGTAAAGAATTTCTTCCTAATGTATAATCTAAATCTCCCCTCTTTTAGTTAAAAACCATTCCCCCTTGTCTTATCATTATCTGCCCGTGTAAAAAGTCACCCTCCCTCCTTTTTATAAGCCCCCTTTAAGTACTGGAAGGCTGCGATGAGGTCCTCCCAGAGCTTCCTCTTCTGCAGGCTGAACAAACCCAGCTCTCCCAACCTGTCTCTATAGCAGAGTTGCTTCAGCCCTCTGAGCATCTTTGTGGGCTCTTCTGGAGCCACTCTAACAGGTCCTTGTCTTTCTTGTGCTGAGAACTCTGCAGACAGACCTGTATACTCCAGGTGGAGTCTCAGGAGGACAGAGCAGAGGGGGAGATTCCCTCCCTATTAATGATATATATGGGAGGAAGAAGGCAAGTGTGAGACTCCCGTGACCAAACACTTTCCAGATCAAAGCAAGTCTTGTGTGGCCAGTGAGGACATTCAGATTACCC